CCTTATTCATCACGATAAATGTGCGTGATTAACATTGCATTCTTGGCTGAACGCGGAAGACTAAACAACATTCATAGCGTGTTGGCGGTACTGTCCAACTAAGTGTAACAAAGTAATTATCAGTGGRGGTAAGAATGTATAATTCGACTAATTTTGCCCAAGGGGAACCGGAAAACTCCTGATTTGGAATTCCGAATCAGAAAATAAGGATCTTTCATGTTAATGGTGGAGTAAACAGGAAATTGAGACTGAAAAAATATAAAAACTACGATATTGCACGAACAGAATTTACTTTTGTCATTCACTATCAAGGCGCTGAAAAACGAGACACAAAAACGTCCAACTTGTCGCGCAACATTGTTACGGTGCAAGTTCGAAAACAATGTTGCTGGTTTTACACCCTATCTATCCAACTTGTCACTCAACAAAGTCTTTCGTTGCAAGTTGGGAAAGCTTGTTGCGAAAAGTAGAACGTAGATCAAATTTGTTGCTCGTTTTTCATCACTCGTCCTACTTGTCACGCAACATTTTATGTGCAGAAGCGGSCACCATCTTGAATTATGTAGGTTGTAGCCAATCGGCGTGCAAAATATCACCGTGATAGTCCCAACTTGCAACATTAGATTTTGTTGCGCGGCAAGTTGGATAGATAGGATGTGCCAGCAACGTTGTTTTCGAACTTGCACCGCAACAATGTTGCGCGACAAGTTGGACGTTTTTGTGTCTCGTATTTCAGCGCCTTAAAATAGTACAATTCAACTTCAAAAAAATGAGCTCGGATTTTTCGTGTGTTTCGGCAGTGTACGAAAATCCGTTTTTCCCTTAATTTGGTAATTATAAATTTTATATTAAARAAATTAAGTAGGAGTGTAAAAAATTGATTGAGTAAAAAAAAAATTGGTTTCTTCCAAGATTAAAATTAGATTAAAACATTTTTTGACCATTCATAGTAAAACATACCTAAGATGGGACAACATAGCAAATGATGGTGAAATTCTTGATAGTAAATTAAGGAAATACATAGAAAAACCACATCACTAGATAGAATTTAGGACATATGGAATTTATGGTTTAGGAAACTATTTGTTTCATGTATGACGTATAGCCTTTTTGAGTACGCACAATGGCAGTCAAAATGATTATTATGGTTATAATTTATTTTACTCTTTTAGGTCATTCTGAAAATCGAAAAAAGAAAGGAATTGCAAGAGAAAAATCAATCATTTTTTACAGACAAACGAACTTGGAAAGCCACACGACTGAATGAATTTCGTAAATATGTTGTTATAAATTAAGGATAAAAAGAAAAGTCAGCTACAAGTCAAAAGTAAAACTACTCTATTATATATGAGTTTGAAAAATGATTTGTCTTCATTTGGATAATATAAAAGTTGTATATATTCTGCCTATTCTTATAGAACTGTGGCAATAAGAAATGTCTTTTTCTCTCTTTTATGTGATTTATTCCTTGACAATTCCTTAATTTTTTCTTTTTCTTTTTTGAAACGAAAGGACAGAATTTCGATAATTTTTTTTTTACATTTTAAATTTTTCTTTACCTTTCCTTCGATTCCAAAATTAAAACTTTATTCCATTTTACCTTTTGTCGTAATGAAAACTTAAAAGAAAGATATATTTTTTAAGCTCAAATTTTCGAGTCAATTAGAAAAATAAAAGAGTTCTCTATCCGTTGCGTGATAAAGAAGGAAAAAACATATCAACTCTAACAAGTTAAGTCTACAAACAACCACACTTTTCATTGTTAAGTAAAACGCTGCCTCCATCAAGAACAAAGAGTTGTTTTTGCTTTTGTACGAGACGACAGGTAGTCTGTTATAACTAAATAAATAAACTATTCCAAGGCAAACATTGTTTACGTAGAAATACCCGTGCATTTAGCTTACAAAGTAAACGATTGTGAAACGTAAAAGAAGCTCACGAAAAGATAAGAAAAATTTAATATTTGAAACATGTTATGCTAAAATAAAATAAAAGCTGGGAAACAAAACAGAAAAATATTGTTGAAATAAACTGTTGAARGAGTACATTTTGAATTTAGAGTGATTGATATTAATTTTAATAGTCCACGTGTAAATCACCAGATTCAGTGTCCCTCGCTGTGTAAGGGAGGGTAAGTTATTCAACGTTAACACAAGTGCTGAGAAGTGGTTGTTTATTTGTTTAAGATACTAAGCAAGGACTTTTAAAGCAAGGAAGTTTGAACCTATAGGRAAACAAAGCTCTACATCTATGGACGGAAATGAAGGAGTTAAACACGCAATCAAGGGAGTTGAAAATCTACGAATGAAGAAGAAACGGAAAGAAATTAAAGATAGTTCACTTATTTGTTGAGTAAATTAACGCGTATTAGTGGAAGTTGAACAACTTTGTTCGTTTGTTTACTGCTCGTGTTTTTCTTGCCCTGAGGCAGAAAGGTGCTTGACAATTAGGTTGGACGGCCGTTATGTGTCTAATTGAGCTGATCTGCGCGGTATATCAAGCAAATYAAATGCATCTGCTAATCATAAGACTCAGGAAACATTCTGAGTCTTGAACGGGATTTGAACCCGTGCCCTGGCGATTCCGGTTTCAAACCTTGGCTGGTACTAGAGTGCAGAACATATATCCGTGAAATAGCACAGAAAATAAATAGTACTAAACACATCTATTTCTTTTGTTTTTAATATACCTTTTAACCARTACGGCGGCAATCTCGAATCCTAATATTTCAATAAAGACATTATTTGATACCGATGGGACAAATATTGGAAAATTCATAGACTGAACAGTCGCCAGGGTGTCTTTTTATATAACTTTACGCTTGTCAATGAGAAGAACAACTAAAATAAATTGAACTTGCTGGTAGTGGGAACAATTTGCGATGAACAAGACTTCAAATTATTTGAAAATTTGAAAACGTAGCCCTGCTACTTTATGCTTTATAAATTTCCTGCGTGTTTGCCCCTCGGCGTCCCATAATTCAAGATGGCCGTCGTATCAGTAAAATGGTCCGAATGTTTCATTGTTGCMATTTTGTACTAATTGGTTAGTGTTATTTTGACGCCCTAAATGGTTTCTAGTCTGACAAAAGCAAAATTATTATATCAAATATATATAAAACAAAAAACGAAAACAAATAGTAATTGGTTATTTTTAAGCAAAACTAGTGTAATTAATTCACTGTTTTGAAGGTATAGACTGACATTTTTGATATTATCTTTTTAGTATAGACTAACACAGTTATTCTCGCCAATCTATAGGGAGCTTTAGAATCAAAATAAAAACAATTTTCTAGTGATAGTTCCTATTTATTAATTTGTTATATTTTTCTTTTATATGATAACGTTYTTTCAATTAGGTCAGTGTATCAGTGGGCAGATTATTTTGATTTCGACTTTTTTAGAATKAAACTATAGCTTCGAAAAGCAAGAGAAATATTACTAAGCCTGCTTCGTTTATGTACTCCATGCAGYTTTCCAGACATGTTTTTATGTCATAGTAAATAGACGTGTGCACATGTATGTTCGAGATATTTCTATACCATGTTTTAGGAAATTCTCTCTCGACACCGAATTCGAAAATACGAAAAACAAAGAAATCGTAAAAATGAGTCCATGCTTGTACGTAAAAAATGTCATAGCCAGATGTCTTCCGGTGCAAAATCAGTCTACCTATTAWGTCTAAAATCAAACAGGTCCTACAAGCATCTGCTCTGACGACACAAACGCCAAACTACCTGGTTCGCTTTACCACTAACTGTGTAGCCTACTRTGCTCGGGGYACCTGTCGACACCGTATGTCAGTAATACATGCATCTACTGGTATTCGTTAAGGTGGTTAATATCTTTAGATTATGGTTAATATCTTTAGATTTTGAATGACTCGATCGAAGCAAGGAAATTTAAAACGATGTCAAAAATAATCCAATCTACTTTAATTTGTCACCATATTCGACAGTTTTTAGTCCCACATGGAAAAGAGTGTTCATAGGTGGTTAGACATCAGGGGCACAGGCGACATATCGGGTCTGCTGGTCATAGCTAGGRGTTAATCATCTACGGTCTAGGGGCCGACTAACCTCTCCCTTAGGCTTCGGCCGAGCTTCCTGATCAGTCTGTAAATCCAGGGATAGCGGTGTCGGGGCCGAAATCTCCGGCGTAGCCGTAAATGCTTCGCGCTGCCATACTGCGCTTCAGCACTASGTCTGGAGGTATGGTCCTAATTTATTCAATCAAAAAATAAAACTTAACCAGTTTATAAGAAAAACTAGTGACCTTGTACCTAGCAGATAAACTTTTGATATATCAAAGTAATAACGGAATTTTAAGTGCGCATGCGCAAATTGGAAAARTTGATATTTAMMAAAMSSMAAAAAAAAAAAAAAAAGAAAAAATGTAATAACCAGATTTCAAAGTAAATTCTTAGCTCAAATACCGTTATACTTTTTCGATGGCGTTGTCACATACTGTGCTGAAATGAYCTCCCGCACAAGTTTTCACTTGCACACAAATAGAAACTATTTATACTTTTCGTAAGTGACGTTTTCGCCAACTTCTCGTCACAGAACACACACACTAACAGCCATCACTCTTTGCAGTCAGGGGCTCTTTCGTGAGGTTCGCTCTATACGCATTAGCACTACATTTACTTGAACAATTTTCGTATGACTGAAACATTCGATGAGGTATGTGGGCCTTGCCGCGACCGTGATGTATTCTAGATTTGTTTTCTCGCACATTKACTAGTCTGGCAGTGCCGTAGCATTGGCGTTACTGTGTCCGCGCCGTGTTCGTGCCTTGTTTCGGACATTTGATTTCATGGAGAGTAAATTTTCGTGCAATGTGATTGGTTTGGCTTATGCCTTGTCGTGTCACGACCGTGTTCGTGTCGTGAACTTTTCACAGTCATACGAAAACTGCTCTATTTGCACACACAACACTCAACTCGCATGTTAATTTTTACGTAAGGAGGAAAACCGGAGGAAACCTCGAGTCAAGGGAGAGAACGACACATCAAACAAACTTAACTCACATATCACGGTTACGTAGAAAATCGAGCCCGCGAACTCAGGCATGAACTAGACAGCAGTGAGAGACAGCGCCGTAGCAACGCATGCCTCCCGTACAACGTACAAAGCGAGGATACATGTTTAGGGCTCAGGTCAAACGTCGAACTTCACATGAGCCGAGTCTAATGGAAACAAATGATAACAAGGCGGTCTTTTTTGATATCATTAGGTTCGGCTGATGTGAAGTTCGACGTTTGAGCTGAGCCTTCAGAAAAAATTCAAAGTTAGAATAATAAAGAACATTTCTATTAAGTCTGAAAAAGTTTTTATCTATTTGAATTAGGTTTGTACAGATATCGAACGAAGTCTTCAAATTCAACCAGTACGAGACTTTTCTTCATTCAAAGAAAAACAATGCCCTAACAATAAACTATAGAGTCTTTTCAATTTTGCGTTGGTATAATGAGGAAGACATGAATGACTATATTCTATATTCAATAAGAAAGAGTAAATAGGAATGTCTTGAATATATTAGGGAAGGAGCATGACATTCATGCCCTTGACGATATTGCTTTACCGGTTTAGCCTATCAATAAATACGTATTAATTCGGAAAGCAGTTTGGCCTTATTAAAAAATATAGCTTGAAATGTTAAGATTCGTTCATTGAGTCGCCGATCTTCATATCCGGACTTTAATTGAGCATTATTGTGGTCTCTTGTGCGCATGTTCAGGTGCTTAAGCGTTCATCTCAGCGCGCGATGTCTGTTATGCAATATCAGTTTTTCCTTGTTTGATTCCCTATACTCGATCATTTGATTTTCTTTTTTCTTTTTTTTTTTTTTTTTTTTTGAGATTAAAATATTGATATAAAGGATTCTCTTTCTTGTTGCTATGGTCGAACTTGTGGACTTTCTTCTAAATAGATGTTGATTGGTCGCCAATCGAAAGCTATTAAATTTGCGCAAAAATTAATTCTCTTTGCGAACTTTGAAAACTGCTCGCCAAATACGTAGCAATTTTCTCTACAACTTGCCTGGCCTTTTTATTTTTTTTGTCTAAATCGCGCTGTAGTTTGCCGCAGTGCTCCACGCAACTTACGCGTAACGCTGATTCGAGACAAGTTGCAGAGAAAACTGCTTCGTGTAATCGCCGTTGAAGAGTTCTAAATTAGTGGAAAACCCCTCTTAGGGACTTTGACGTAAGGAGCTGATATCTCCATACCTCGCTCCTGTCTAAATAGGCTCCGTCCAATGACAGTGATTTTTGCTTTGTCCCTGATGATTCATTTAAGTTTGTCTACCGTATTCATAGCAAAACCAATATTGGAGCAGAACAATTTGAATTTTCCATATATTAAAAATTGATGAAATTCTAGCACCTCAATAATGATAAGCTGATAACTAGAGGTACGACAGTCATAGTAAAAACCGGAATACCAACAAATCGTGAGCGGCCTAAAGTTTAAACATTTTAAAATATATTCTTGCACCTCCTCAATTTAATATAAAATGCATGTAAACCTGTTTAAATAATGATATTTGAAAGACTTAAGTCTTGTTCAGTTCCTTAACAACGAAAACACCGGAATTTTCGTAATTACTTCTGCCAACTCATGTGCTATCTTTCAAAAACAATAAATCTTATACATCTGTTGCTCATAGTTGAAAAAGCTACTCGCTATCTACTATTCATTATTAGATTCTAATTCTCGTCTAACGCCATATTGAATAGAAAGCTAAACTAGACTTATAGACTTGAAATCTTCCTTCTAAGCGACGGATTTATTATTTATTCTATGAATATTATTATCTGAATACTTTTTAGAGAAAATAGTCGAGGTATAAAAAAAAGATTTTGAAAAGTTCGTAGCCAGTACAGTTCACTCATGGCTAAACCAAGGTTGTTTTTTTTTTTTAATTTTTGGCTCCATTTAATTTGAGAAAAAGGCTTTTATGTTTTGAGGTCCGTAGTAAAATAAGAAAATTCTCTCGTATACTGAATGTTCTCTGGGTCATTCATCATATTTTGAATGAAAAAATACAATGTCGTGGTCTTCCACTGTTTTCGATAGTTGAGCTGCAATATAGTTTACACTACAGTGACTGATGTTTAACTTCCTTCCAATCGGCTTTGTCCTGTCAGTGAACTCAGCTTGGTAAACGAATAATAAAGTATAAAAAAATCATAAAAGAAAAAACAGCTAGTGAGATAACATCAACTCATTAAACTAGACCTGAAAAGTGAATCGTAAATTATATAAGTTATCTTAAGATTGTAGAGCGATTTCGTGATCAACTAAGGAATTAATGACGATGACTTTTTCGTCCGATCCTTCCTCGGAAGAGTTGTTAGTTTAGTTCCCAAATATTTACCATTCACGTTCGTCAATGCTTTATACCTTGAATAACGTTCTCGCATAATTTTGAATGAAATACTTAAAGGCTAATTGTATCAGACTCGAACCAAGAAGTTTGTTTAGACAAAATTAAACGTTTATTTAGATACGAAAATAGGATTCTCACGTAGAGCTCAAATAGCAAACGGAAGCAAACAATAAAATTGGAAAAAAAATTCGTTTCGTTGACCTTTCTCCTCAAACCAGGCAATTTTCAACTAAATTCAGCGTTTAGATTATTCAGCTGCGAGTGGCATTTTATTGCATTTTTTTCTTCGTTTTCAGTGCTCAGCAGCTTTGCCCTACTGATTAAGATTGCTGACAGCATTGTCATTCAAAGTTTACATATGCCAAATTGCGGAGATTGCTTCTTTTCTAAGCCACTTCCAACAATTTTTTCTCTTGAAATTAATCAAAATTCTATGGAATTCTCAACCAATGAGAAGAGCTTTTCAATTTGGTCGTTTATTGGCAGTAAAAACACATATTATTTCAGTTGTGACTCTTCCTTTATATTGGAATTGGTGATGGAAGATTGCGGCATTAGGTAATATATATATCTCTGATTATATCACACGAGCGCGTTAATGTACTGGAGCCGAAGCGGTTGAGTACTGACTGATATGATATCAACAGCAAGAATGTTTTGTAAAACTACAGTAAAAGCGGAACTTCAAGATTGATTGACACACGCTGAGGGACTGAGCATTTGCCCTCCACGGAAATAGCCGTCTTACAAAGTGGAAATATATAAACGACCAGAAAATATTTGGCATAGAAAAGAAAAATCGATGGAGTTGAAGAACGTAAGCTTGAGCACGCAGTCTTCTTCTTTAAGGACGTGCTATCCGTTCAGCTCTGTGTGGGTTTACAGAAGCGATCTCATCAAGGCTTGTATCATGGCTAGCTTCGTAGAAGGAATCATTCTCGTGCCTATTACTATAGCAAACTTTCTGGTCATCGCAGGAATTTGTCGAACACGCTCCCTTCATTCCCCAGCGAATTTTCTGATATGTGCTCTAGCTTTTTCGGATTTTGGAGTCGGGATTCTTGCCTTACCTTTTCACTTAGCATCCAATGCTTTTCTCTTGGGAGACGATTTTGGTGGATGGTGCCTTTCGACTAGGATTGCTTACGGTCTAGGCGTTCTTCTCGCTGCTGTTTCTTTAGTAACGATTGCAGCAGTTAGTATCGAAAGAACTGTGGCATTGTACATGGCGTTGCGCTATGAGATGATTGCGACGAATGCTAAAGTAATCATCTTTACAACCCTAACTTGGATAGCCATGGCTTTGGTCTCTGTTGTCCAATTTGTGGATCTATTTTCATATCAACTTACAGCGGCTTTTATCACATTTGTGTGCTTTACAATAAGCTCTTACTGTTGTTTGAAGATCTACTATGTTATACGACATCACAGAACACAAATTACTATTCAAGAATATGCATCCGAGTACCAATCCACGACTAATCCAAACGACAACGAAAAGAGTAACAGTGCTGTACAGAAGAAAAAGTCTTCTACATCTTTGCTATGTCTCTATGGATTATTTCTGCTGTGTTATTCTCCTTACATTGGAGTTCAACTAGCTTTGATCCTAAGTGTTGATAATAGTCATGTTCATGCGGCTGAGATCACTACAGTCAGCATCGTATTTATCAACTCTGTGCTCAACCCTATATTGTATTGCTGGAGAATGAGAGATATACGTCGTGCAATGATTTCTGTTCTACCATCTTGTCTTAAACGAAATAGAATCGAAAACAACTGCAGTGCGGGGCGAAGTGTCACCAGAGCTTCAGTTAACACCAAGAATATGTTACAGAAAAGTTAGCCCGGCGTCATGCAATCACAAGCTTTCTCCAAAACTAAAACTAAAAGGAATGGCCAAACTTAAAAATAAAAATAGAAAAAAAGATTCGCCCCCAAAAAAATCACTAAAACTTCTGGGAAGCCATACATTGTTAAAGTTGCATTCATCTTGACTTTTAAATCGAAAAAAACAAAAACAAAAACAAAAAAAAACAAAAAAAAAAACAAAAAAAAAAAAACGTAATTTATTTGTTATGCACTGAGTAAACTCGAGGTTCTAAAAAAGATCATTGGAGTTTGTTTATTCGCATGTTGGAATTATTGCTTTTGGATTAAGTTACAAAAATATTATAAACATTTTGTTCTAGTATATGATTAGGTCTACACCACATCACATTAACGTTTTAACGAGGAGGAAAATGAGAGCTATAAGGAATGAAACAGCTGCCAAAATGAAGAGAAAGAGGAAGTTGTAAAAACCAGAAGGAACCATTAACGCTGACTCTTCGACAAAGATATTTCGCTTATCGGTCAAAAGTGTAAGATTTTCAATGAGATAAATAAAATATTAAGACATTTTTCGCTTACGTACATGGTAAATAATTCGTCCAATAATGCTTAGCAAGGGATGACATTAACTTTATATGGACCTTTTATGAAAGTTAATATAATCTCGTTTCGTCTGACGTATTACAGTCCTCTAGGCCCTGCGGATACGCGATACATTCTCCTATACCAAACGAACTAAGTATAAATAAAACCTAGAGGAGCCAAACATTTTAAACCGAGATTTCATTTTGAGCAAGCTATAATAATTTGTGAATAATTTACAGGTATAAGACATCGGATTATTTAAGTGAGGCGATCAGTGCCTAAGGCCCCCTCCACACGTATCCGCAAATGTTTGTGTCCGTATCCGCAAATTTTACGAAAACGGATACGTGTGGACGGTGAAAACGATTCGAATACGCTGCGTGTGGACGCAAACATTTTCGTATCCGCAAAAAATAATTTGCGGATACAAAAATTTCCGGATACGTGTGGACGGGGCCTAAACTGAGTCGTATGACATCATTAAARGTCGAGTGCCTCGGTAGGCTTTTAAATTATGTTTCAAAATCATACAAGTATATTACAAATTAACTTCTTTCTCAGATTTCATTTTGAATGAATAGAAGAGTTTAAAAAATTCAATATCTCTCATTGAAGAAAAATTAAATTTCTCAGGAGAAGTATTGATATTGCCAATATCAACATTAGTTTCGATAACAACTTGAAAGTTTGTTTATCTTTGATTAGCCAATTTTTTAAAATTTGAAATTGAATTGAAAATGAAAACATTAAATAATTCAACAATTGTGTAAAGGAAACGCTTTATCTAACAATATTGGCATTGTATTAATGAATACTCTTTTAGTAAGTCGAAAACTGCAACCAAACTTTGAGTAATTTTTTTATAAATATATAGAGTGTATATTATTCTTTTGCAAATGCACCATACTTAAATAAATGTTTGTTCTACAAAGCGACATTCAATTGTCAGTTTATATGAAAAGTCAATAGCATGTGGTCCTAATTTAATTCAAAACAGATGGATTTTTAAATCAATTTTGTTTTTTTTTTCCATTCAATTCAAATCCTGCATTTTTGATGCTATCGCATTAAACTCTCTGGTCTCTCTTTTTCTTTCTCTCTCTTCTTTCTTTCACTTTCTTTTTCTTTCTTTCTTTCTTTCTTTTCTTTTCTTTTCTTTCTTTCTTTCTTTCCGTTTCTTTCTTTTTTTCTTTCTTCCTTCCTTGCTTCCTTTCTTTCTTAGCTATTTTGAACTCCTCAATAATGTATCTTATCAAGCATAACACAGTTATGAATGACATAACACTTACACTCTTTTCTTAATGGGATGGTATTGTGTCAAACGCTGACGTAAAGTGTCGCTGACGTTGGTCAGTTCCTTTTAAAAGTAAGAAAAAAAAWATTTCCATCGAATTGGAATGGAATTTGTAACAAGTTATTCTTGCAACCACCTGACTCAAAATGTCTTGAGAGAAGTAAATAACAAAGAAACAGCCCGGTCATGTTGGTTGATTAAAAAATAGAAGCCATGAGGAATGCTTTGTTATCGTCAACCAACATAGCGGCTATAACGTAAAACGCTCCCCCAAAAAGCAATCATATCTACAATAGCCTGTTTCCGACATTTAAATAAAATTAAAAGATGAAAATAGAATCGTGAGAAAATGAATAATTAATAGKGTTTTTTAGTTTGAGGTCAAGATAATGTCATCCATAATACGAACGTGTAACTAGTGCTACCCGTACGTGCAGAAATTAGAGCAAGTTTTTTTTTTCGCCGTCCAATACTTCTTTGACTACACTCGCGTTTTCCCGCCAAAACCACAGAGAGACCAATATGAAAATGGCGACAAGCAATGTTTTTGGCATAAAAAACTTATAAGTCAGACAGAGGAAAAGTAAAACGGCAATTTTGGGTTGCATTGAAGTGCATTATCAGTGTCGGTGATCTTACTACGTTTTTCTAGATCAAAATATTAATCCAAGAGTATATTCTTGGCTTTCACATTCGTCATCAAATACAATTTTTCCAATAATTATATACAACAAAAACTTCCAAGTCCGAAGGAGCAAGGAAAACTATATATCTCAGCCACATTTCTAGCTAAAAGAAGTTTTAGATACGGAGATACAAGCGATTGATAATACTTCATAATTTAGTTGAAATGCCTGGGTCCGCCATACAAAGATGGCGGCCAAAACACGAAGGTTGAAAATCAAGTTTATATTGCAACCACTTTAATATTCTCACAACAAAAATCATCAAAATAAAGTTAACAATCATCTAGTAAGTTAAAAACGCGATATTTCAATCGAATTTCCCTATTTCTATTTCTTTGAAAATGCATGACAGAATAGCGTGACAGAATAGCGTGATAGAATAGCGAATTCGACTCGTAACAAATCGAAAACCAAACATCAACAATACATATTACACTAATACATATACTCAACAACAGTTTCGTGGAGTGAATATTTTGGATTTTTCGTTATTTGATGACGTCACGCGATAGCCAAGAACTAGATGAGGGTGAGCAGATATAAAGCCGAGTTCTTAAAAACATAGCCTGTGTCATCATCCGGAATTTTCTTACGAAGAAAATTCCGGATGTGACGCAGGCTATTGAATATACGATATTCAATATAATTGTAWAATTGAAGAATAATTAATGAGGATGTAAGCCAATCGAGACTTAGAAATAAGGTCACATGAATATCATGAAACCCGATACAAGCCTTAGTGGATGTATGCTGTTCTGATACAGCACTAGAGGTTGTATTTAATTAGCATCGGAATTCAAAATGTGCCAAAGGATTTATGAATTTTTAACGGAATTTCACTAGCTGTTTACGACACGGCAACTCATACTGTATATATTACATACATTTTGTAAACTAATTACCCAAAGATTTAATAGCAGATATTATGTATGCATGGACGAGATGCAAATGAGACAACAAGCATATAAGCCTTTTCATAGTTTAAAAATCGATTCTACTGCGCATGCGATTTTATCCCGAATTTCTCACCTTCTTTTGTCTAGACCTTCTTTTGTTCTTAATTAAACAAAAGAAGGTAAGAAATTCGGGATAAAATCGCATGCGCAGTGGAATCGATTCTTAAACTATGAAAAGGCTTATTGTAACGACCTGATAGCTCAAATGTAATAACAAAGAGACAGCTTGCATGTGACGTCAAAGCAGCTCGATCTGAGGGACTGGGGACAAAACAAAAGAAATCCAAATCTCCTGAGAGTTGGAACCTATTGTTTTGTCCCCCAGTTTGAGCAGCATTCCAAAGTGCTGCAAGGGATCTATCATCATCTTTCGTTATAAAAAGCATAAGTACTTCAACCTTGAATAAACTTAACATGATAAATGTATTAATTACAGATAATAGATTTATCATGTCATATCAGGGAATGGCTGAGGGATCTCGGACAGTCTGTTGGTACTCATTGCTGTGCATGTAGTTGTATACAGATGTACAGCCATACAGTTCAACCTTCATCGATATGTGTCCTCTCCATCTAATGTATCGAGTCTTGATGGGTACCGTCAGTCTGTTGGTACTCATTGCTGTGCATGTGGTTGTATACAGAWGTACAGCCATACAGTTCAACCTTCATCGATATGTGTCCTCTTCATCTAATGTATCGTGTCTTGATGGGTACCGTCAGTCTGTTGGTACTCATTGCTATGCATGTGGTTGTATACAGATGTACAGCCATACAGTTCCA